ATAGGTAATAGTGTCATTTCGCTGCTATGACAACTCTGATGTCGTTGCAACCCTAATCATAACAAATTTTCATCTTTATCTGATACAACTGTGGTGGCCAGTTTTCCAAATCTTTGTTTATGGCAACTTAGTTTATGCTCAAACTTGGGAGGTATTGACCCTGAAAAACTGTATTGAGCCACCTTAAGAAAAGAATTCACTCGCCCGATAGCAAAATCCACTAGTCCTGGGCTATCGGACACTACTTTCTTTGCACGCTGGCTAGAGTTGCTCTCCGCTGCGCCTCAAGCAACTCTTACGCTCTCTTTCATGCTCTCCAAACGTCCCGCATACTCAGTATCTCAACATACATGTATGCAAGCTGATGCATGAACTAATTGTTAAATGTTGGAGGTGATCATAGAAGCGAAGTAGTCGGATGATGGAGGTTTGACTACAATATTCAGCTTATGAATGTGTACTCCCAGAAACCCATACAAATAGAAATGTTGCGAACAATATCAAATTTAAGATTGATGAAAGTTCAGGAGTTTAAAGCGAAAGATACATGTACTTTCACTTTAAATTTCCCGATTCAAGCATTAATTTACGGGGCAGTGTAAAATGCAGACTGCGGACTATGGTTTTTCGGGTTATAAAGCAATGGGACTGTTGTTGTCACTTACACATTTGCAAGGTGAAAACAATAGTCCGCAGTCGTGTTTTACACTGACTGAATTAATTAAGAAAACAAACAATCCATGTTTACTGAAACTAAACTTTCAGACAAGGAATACTCTTCTTAAAAGAATATAACTAAAGATTTTCTTTACATATAAAGGGAAATAAATAAAAGCTTACCTGTAAGCATTAAGCTCAATCCTTTTCAAAAACTTTAAAGCCACGATGTGGTTGTACACAACACAAAACGTGGTCAACATTTCCGTGACTTGCAGCTACACCGGCGAATGAATTTGCCCAAAAATGCCACAGAACGAGGAACGTAACTTTTCCACTGGTAGTAGTAATAGAATAGTCCATTTGCAGCACGTTTTGCCCACAAATTTTAGCATTTTATCCTCATTTCGCCGTCGATCATGGCTTCCATTGCACAACAATGGGTTCTCGTTCCCAGAATTCTTGCGGCACTAAATTTCCCGCGAAAAAATAGGGAGTCTATATGGAGACAGCCATAACCTACTTGCCGGGTGAGCCGGGTATAAACCCCAAGATGACCACAAATTTGTAGACATCATTTTGGATCTATTTTAATGGTACACAAACTTTTTAGAAAATTTCATCTTTGACCCCAAATCAATTTCCTGTCCTTTTTTTTAACTCCTTCCAAGATGGCAGCGCCCAAATCTGATCTTATAAACAGGATGTGGACCCGAAAAAAATAATACATGATTTGCAGAAGATTCTTATGAGGATGCCCCTGGGTCTTGACAGATAGCTACAGATATCTGCCAACACCCGGGTGATATGGCTTTGCTCATGCGTTAGGTACTGGCCAGGCCGTGGGTTGGTGCACGTGTGCCAATTGCCGTTAAGTTTGCTATAATCGGGGTAGGAGAACGCAACTAGATACCTTCTGTGTAATCTCACAATAATGTGGTGGTTCCATCGAAATATTTGTGTCATTACTTGTGTAGACTGCAAAACAGTCGGTTTTTTCCTCAAAATCAGTAAAGAAATCGGTAAAGCGTGGCGTAAGAATCTTACGCGCGCGAACCGCGCGAGCCTCACACGCCCAGTCTCGCTCTTTGTTTTCAGCCTCGACCTTTTGTTTCACTGCTCGCGCGTACTTGAATACGCAAAAATAGGGACTGTTTTGCAGTCTATCACGTGTGACATCCGCGCGCAATTTTGATAAAGCGCCGCGCAAAGAATAAACAAACAAAATGGTGTTGGAAATTACCTTCATGGGAGGTGAATTAGTTCCATTTTCTGTCATTATTTTAAGGAGAACCGGAAGCGACGTTTTTGAGCGACGCGCGTCAACCGGAAGTGAACTTTTTGCACACCTGAGCCGTGATTTTGAACAAATTTTGGGGTAAATCGTCTCTTTAAAAGGAAAAACACTTAGCAATAAAAATTTGGTGCTGCCAAGGCATATATTAAAAAGAAAAAGGCTCACTTCTGGTTGAACAACGTCGCTCAAAAACGTCGGTTGCTTAAACTCCCTATTGACTTCGAATGTGAGGACTGTGAATCTCAGATTGTGATAATCACCGGAGTGAGATTGTTATTATTTTTGATTGGTATGAAGGACACAGGGGCTTGATTTTTGAATGAAAATGAAGGGGAATGCAGTGACGTTCACCCTAAGGTTTGACAACGAGGTTTAAAAAGAGTACAAAGTGACATATTGATTTACGAGAATTCCCCCCTAGCTCAGTTTCCCTAATACGCTTTTCTCTAAAATGTTTTTGTACCTCGTTTTCCTTATCGCTACTTTCTGAAAAATATTGAAAGGTTTTTCTTTCTTCTCCACCATTACAACGGCCTGGCACCGGGAGGCTGAGCCCGCAATACAAGGAACCTGGATCTGGCGAGGATGTAGATTAAGAAACATTCGGTTGATTTTCTCATAAAACAAACAAACATTGAGAAAGCACTTTCATTTAATCAATAAGCAATATAGGAGTATATTTACAGACTGAAGTAATAAAAAAATACCAGTAGGTAATGGAAACATCTGACTGAAAACAGGCAGACTATTATTGGATGAGGTTGTTGTGATATCCGGAATAATCAAGGTCGAGGCACTGTCGAGGTAAGTATTATCAGCCGAGCCGAAGCCCGAGGCTGATAATTACTTACCGAGACCTTGATTATTTAGGATATCACAAAAACCGAATCTAATGACTGTTTTATTATACATTGTTTGGAAGAAAATAACGACAAACACTCCGTCCCAAGGAACTTGAATTGATATTGCTATTGGAAATCATGCATTGCGCACACAACGGAGCAGCCTACAGTCGGTTATCTGTAGATTCCGCTGATTTCCAATATTAGCTGTTGGCTGATCAAAAATAAAACACAAGCAGCAGTGATAAACATTGTAAGTTTTCGTATTTTTATAAACTCGACGTTTCGTATGCCATTCAACATACATTTTCAAAAGTGATCTTAAGTGACCGGTAAAGAAAATGACGAGACTATATATTCAAAAATTACAAGGAGTCTGGAAATGAGCTCTTAGCCAATGAGAAGACAGCCAATGAGTACAATGTATAATAATGATTAATAGCTTTATGAAGAGCCTATCCTATTATAATTCATCGAATTCCAATAAACTCGCCCATCGCTCAATCAATACAGGGTATCGATAAAATTTGTAAGCACCTTGTTATATATTACCATTTTTAATATGTTTTTATTTATTTTCGACTTTCACAGCATCATGTTCTGCTTTGGGATATCGTTAAAAGTAGACGCGCGAGAGGCACGCGACAGGAGACGCGAACTTAGGGGGATGGGGAAGAGAATAACCCTAACCCTCCACCCCTCGCAGCTTCGCCGATCGCCCGCGCGTACCGCATAAATAGTAGAGCTTGCTCCCAGGCTAGCTTTACTGTTGATCAGACAATGTGACAAATACTCCTTCTTTCGGTCTTAGAATTAGCTCTGAACATAACTGAAGTTCATCGTAAGACTGGGTAGACTGGATCTTAAAATGACGTAACACATGGGCAAGGACGAGCTTCTCCTCAAGAAGAGCTAACCGCTGACCTGTAAAAAAAATTACAGGTTAATTCTGGTTTTGCCTGTTTCAGGCCTCAGATAGTGGGGACTTCACGAAAAGAAGGTCAAGAGAAAATAAGACGAGTGTGATCTGGGCAAAAGGTAGTGGCGGCAACCTCTCCCCAATATTTTTCAACTTTCTACGGGAAAGGTCCTGGGGACGAGGCTGTATTAGCGATGTTGAAGTGATATGGGCATCCCCATTCCCAAAACCCAAGTGATATAGGCATCCCCTTCTCATATTACCTTAGCGATGTGGGTTAGCTAGGGTTTGGGTTAGGGTTAAAGGGGATGCCTGTATCACTAGGGTTTTGGGAATGGGGATGCCCAAAACACTGGGATGCCCATATCACAGTGACAGAGGGTCTCCCCCACCCCCCGCGCGTTAATTGCATCAGTTGCCACGATATCTGCACATTACATCTTGGACCCTGGAACAAGCTAATTCTAATAATTACTTTTTGGCCCTGTCCACACAAGTGTGTTTCGATTGACAATGCATACATTTCGCTGCGCTTAGGCCTTCCGTCCACACTGATACGCTGAGCTTTTTCAGGGTACATATCGTTTAAATGTGGATGGTCGAAAACGGTTGAAAATGTATCAAAATGAAAACGGTAACCGAAAATATCACAGGCGCGTGTGTTTGTAGCATGCTCACCGAGTTCAACTTACATCACAACGTGCAGTGGACCATTTTCGATATATTAAAATTCATACTTGTCTCCGAAGCTTGGAAGAATACAACAAAAGAAGTGTATTATTCATTGCTGACCCTCAAGATGATTTCTTTTGTTTTATTCCCCCAAGCCTCGCAGCCAAGTACGAATTTTAATATATCGAAATTGGTCTAACCTTTTTAGTGAAGACAGTCGATAACGCATCAAAATGATAGCGTGGACGCGAATCGATCGACGCGTTTTTCGTTGACAACGAAAACGCATACGGGGTACTTTTGACAACGCATTAGTGTGGACAAAGCCTATGTGGTAATACTTCAAACATGTTTGTTGTTGTTGTTCTTTTGTTTTGTTTTTCATGTCATTTCAGGTTCATCCCAGAAATGACCAAGCTCATTTTATTCCTTAAAGCGTTTAAAGCGCGAGGAACACGGCCTTTCCATTTTTTTACCCTTCCAAGAGCCCTGGCTGGAGACTCGGGTTTTATTTCCTGTATCATCTCTACATGAATTATCTCTCTGTCACGTCTTTGAAAATCATAACAGTGCCTGACGTTATATGTTAACTTAGTTGTACGTTACGGGAAAACTATGCCAGCTTACCAATGCAATTCCTTGGCCCAGCAGAGAATGGAAGAAACGCAAAGGGATGGCGTCCTTTAATATTCTCAGGAAGAAAACGGTCTGGATCGAAATCCAACGGTGCTGGCCACACCTCGGGGTTTTTATGCAAGGCGAGAGGGGAAATGGTAACGGCGGATCCCTTTGGAAGGAAGAAATCACCTGGAGAGAATGCATGCAGTAATCTGTTAGTGGACCCATTCTGTATTGTTTGATGGAAGGTTCAAGAGATCAATAGCCTGGGCGCGAAAACAACCGTCACTCCTCGCCTCTCGCCACTAGGGACGTCTCTCCTGGTGAAATTAAGGAGCCAGAAGAGAAAGCTGTTATCGCAGGCTAAGAGATCATTAGTAAAATCCAACTAGTGGTCTATTATCAATGCTGCGTTCTGATTGGTTGGGCTACTACTACTCTATATGTTGTAGCCCACTAGTAGCGAAAAGCGCCGGATTTTTGGCGGCAAAAAGGGATTAAAGTTAAGCTTTAACTAGCTAAATCTTTTTTATTCTCGCTATTTTTGACTAACTAGTTGGATTTTACTAAAACAATTATTCCTCTCGCCCTTAGCTTATGGCCTCTGAGTCAATAGCCCATTCGGCCTTCGGTCTCATGGGCTATGGACTCAGAGCCCACTCCGGCTCGAGGAATAATTGTTAATTACCAAAATCCAACTAGTGGTCTATTATCAATGCTGCGTTCTGATTGGTTTGAGCTACTACTAGGCTATATGTTATAGCCCACTAGTATCGAAAAGCGCTGGCTTTGAAACCCAAAACAATGGCGGTTAAATCGCGTTTTGCTTGTTAAAGTTGTTTGGTCTCGATATTTTTGACCAACTAGTTGAATTTTACTAAAGCAATTATCCCTCTCGCCCTCATGGCCTCTGAGTCCGATAGCCCATTCGGCCTTAGGCCTCATGGGCTATTGACTCAGAGCCCATTCGGGCTCGAGAAATAATTGTGACAAGTTAATAAATATCTTGTTGAGATAGGTATGCCAAGTCTGGAGCAAGATGTGTCGTATTTTGATTTTGTGTGCTTGTTTGTTGCTGTTATTTTTACAAAAGCACGAGCTGCAGTTTAGTGTTTGATTTGAGAACGCGGTTTCATACAAACCATCATTTAATAAGTTTTATCAAGTTTATGAGGGATCTTTCAATGTGGCTAAAACTACGCAATCAAAAGTGTTCACACGCTTTTCAGGCTAGCTTGTTGGTCAAGTTGCGAATAAATTGGCGTTCATGGAAGAATGGCTGGTGAAGTATTACCCATTACTGCGTGTATCCTTGACCCTTTCCTTACAGGAGAGAAAGGGATGGCGCAGTGATGAGAGCACTCGCCTCCCACCAATGTGGTCCGGATTCAAATCGCGGCGTCGACGCCCAGGGTTGAGTTTGTCGTTGGTTCTCTCGCTTGCTCCGAGAGGTTTTTCTCCGGGCAGTCCGGTTTTCACCTCTCCTCAAAAACCAACATTTCCAAATTCCAATTCTTTCTTGTTCTCATACAGAACTCCTAAGTGTTTCGTGGGTAAATAAATTGCAATTTACCAAAAAATTTTCCCAGAAGATAGGATAATTATTGAAGTCTCCATTTACGCAGATGGACATGTTTTTCCTCACATCGTGAAAAAATATGTTGTTGTTATTATAAATATTATTTTTCATCTATTATCAGCAAAATATCCTTACGTATGAAGCTAGTCACAAGCGCTGCTTTGGTAACTGCTCACCCTCCCCTCCCACATCCCACCAAAATATTTATTGTACCCGCCTGGGATGTATCGGTGCAGAGGCAGTACCAACAATAATTCTTGTAATTGAGACGTTTGGTACCAAAAAGAACCAACTCACCTAAATAGCAGTCTTCAGTTGTTGTTCTTGAATAGAATGGCACGGAAGGTAGTAATCGCTGAGATTCCTAAAACCAACGGGTCACTGATGAGTAACTAAAGTTGCTATAGACAGCTGGTGATATTTTGCGGTCAATTATACATTTGGTTTGTAAGTATGTGTCATTTCATTCAAATGATGCATTTTACATTGAGTAAAGCTACGGTAAAATGCGCATCAAAAAGGTGCAACTTTATTGGTAACATTTCTACAAAACGAGTTGAAAAGCGATGCTGCGCGTTGTTCCACCCACGTTCAAAGCCGTCTCGCAACAAATCAGGTTGTTGAGTTGCGTGAATACCGACTTGTGATTGGACAAAATTAAGCAGAAGTCACGCCATACACTTGCTGTAAAGCAAGTTTGCTTAAGCCCGGTAAGACGCGTGACATGTACAGACTAATTTTGTTGCAAACAGAAGTACTACTGAGGGCCAATGTTCCCAATGTAAGGGTCTCAATGTATGGGTCTCCATAGCTCAGTTGGCAGAGCACAGAAGCTCTTACGGAGACGCCTTGGGTTTGAGTCCCGTTGAAGCCCTGAAGTTGTTTTTGAGTTAATGTGCAATTTCTTAAATTGCTTAGCTATAACGACAACTGCCACGATCATATCACTAAATTCGTAAGTGTGTCTTTTGAATTCCATCCATTAATTTACCTTCAGCACGTACTCCATATAACGGAATTCCTTTAAGTCCTCAACAGTCAAAATGTCTGGACGCCTTGCTAGAAAACAAATAGCGTGAAATGATTCATGCCTCAAAATCAGTCAACTCTGACAAAAGCAGCGAGCTAAATGCAGAATACAGATTCTAACTGATTCATGCAAAATACTTTTCTTTTAGGAATCGCACTGCCTTCTAAAAACAGAAATAAAGCAAAAGCCAAATCGCCAAAGAACTTCTCATGATCGTCAAAAATTATTTCAAAACAATGAAGTCAACCTTTTCTAGGCAACATATGGTCAACGATATTAATGATGATGATGATGATGATGATGATGATGATGATATGGTGACGATGAAAATGAGAACTTATCCAGGGAGTAGTACGTAACTGTACTTGTGTATTAATTGTAATATTTTATTTAGTTAGTTACCAAAAAATCTGTCGACCTCCTCATATACTCTCTGCTGTATGTCTGGATGACGACCGAGAAGATACAAAGCCCACGTGATACCAGCTGCGGTGGTGTCATGACCCTAAATAAGAAAGTTCGTTACTCCTTTACGAGACTCACGCGAGACGAGGTAGAATTACTAAGTTTGGCAGTAATAGCGTGAACAGTTTTGAAGATATTCAAGTTAAATTGAGGGTGGGGGGCTCAAAAACCATCCAGGGGGTCCAAACTTTGGTTCAGAAAGGACTGTTGAACTTTTCTGTGGCAAATTACTTCTCTCCACACACCCCACACCCCCTCCCACCAGTCGCGGTTGCACGTAATAATTCCTTGGCCCCTTGATACTGTGTACATGAATTCTACTCGTAAAGGACGCATCCTTGGAACACCCTCCTCTTGTGCTTGTAACAAAGATTGTACATGCAGATTTCGTTGAATATCTCTAGAATTTAGTTTAGTGGCAAAATGCAACTCCCGTTTCATTGAAAAAATCAGCTAGTTAAGAAGTGCAGTTAAGAAGTCTCAGACAAGTGTCACGTCTGGAAGGGGGGAGGGGGGATCCCCCGCTGTATTCATTTTCATTTCTATCATATCGTGAGGGTATATTGGGTGTTTTAAATTCTTTTTCTTCATATCTCAAGCAAGGACAGAGAGGACAGAGAGAGTAAATCCCAGTCTAGCCCTGGCTTGAGATATGTGAATTTCGCCGAAGATATTTTTAGACCAATTAAACGGAAGTTGGTTTCCGGAGAGGTCCGCAAACTTTTATTCCCGGTGTTATCAAGAGAGAGAGTGATAGGACATTATGCTCCCTTGGTGTCTCGACATCACAATATTCTAGTGAGTACATGGTTTGCTTTCGATGCAGCCGTGCTTGGATTTGACTTTTCAAACAATCGATTAAGATTTGCGGATGTCCAAGGAATTAGACTTCCTTTTAATTTGAACCTATTAAAACTTTAGTGAAATTCACGAATCCTAGCACACACCCTAAGATTTTTTTTCTGTCTCATTCTCTCTTGTCCTCAGTCATTCACAATTTCTTTTACTGACCTCAAACATGAATGTGTCCACTTCTTCCCTAACTCCTTCTCGCGAGATTTCTCCGTCTTCATATGCTTCGAGCAACGTATCGAGAAATGCAAGTCGCTTTCTCTCTGTCTGACACTCGCTGTTGTTCTGTTGCCCCTGTTCCCCAACAGACCTTTTTGTAGCTGCCCTTTCAGCAATTTGCTCGTCAATCACCTAGCATTTAATAAAATAAATGCTTCCGTTTTCCAACTCGTAACTACCTTTTTTACATTAGGGATCGTTCGGAGTCAATATCTCACAATCGTTGGAGACTTTTAGTGCCTTAAACTATCATCTTTGTCACCCTTTGCTGTCTTTCGCCCTATTAAAGGGACGCGAAACATTTTCTCTATACTGCCCAAGTTTTGCTGCACTGCAGGAAAATTTGTTTTCCTCTGCTGCACAACTACTTGGAAATAGACGGCATTGTGCCTCCGATTAGAAAAAAAATCGATTGGCTTTTAATGGGATTGCTAGTGCTGATTTTGCCCAATCGTTTGCTACTATGTCCAACCGTCAGTTTCTGTTAACTATACTAGTGTGTTTTTTTCTTTTTGTTTTGTTCGTTCGTGACGTTTAAAAGTACCTTACCACCGTTTTCGTTGATACGCGACTTTCGAAAACAAAACACCCGTGGAAACGTTTCCAAAATTTCCGTCAATCATGCATGTTATCGACAGATCGGATCGAAATCCACCAATCACAGCCCGCTAGCACGACGTAAAGAAGGTCAGAAGGTCACACTAGTGGTTGTGATTGGTGGATTTCGATCCGATCTGTCGATAACATGCATGATTGACGGAAATTTTGGAAACGTTTCCACGGGTGTTTTGTTTTCGAAAGTCGCGTATCAACGAAAACGGTGGTAAATGATAGATTAAGCGCCCCGTCGCTTACGTCATTTTCCCTGTTATGGGTGCGGCGCTTATACGAGAGCGGCGCTTATCAAATTATTTTCGGTAAAGTTGCGGTGCTTATTCGAGTAGCGGTGCTTAATCGATCATTCACTGTATTTTTAATATGTATTGTAAACAGCCTAAAGCTCTGTAGATGATCGAACCCTTTGTACTCTTACAGCAAATGTTGAAATATGCATTTTTCATAGAAAAAAAAAAAGAATAAGAAGGAGGCACCTTATCTGTGAAACCATGAAGAATATCCAGACACTTGTTAAACTCTCTTCCTGAAGGACTCAGATTATAGATGATATCTGGCCAAAGCCAGGGCGATCGTCCACGATGTTCAAGAAGCTCACTCACCCTACAACAAAAGCGAACGCACAAGAAAACAAGCTTAATAGCAAAATTTACTATGTGAATGATGGACCAGATTTTACAGATTTATTGTTTAGAACGTACGATTTTAACGAGGAGTTAGTACGAAACTATTCCAAAATTACTAAGACGCTAAGGGTGGAACCGGAAAGACGTCTTGCGGCTGGCGGAGGATTGCCATCGACACCCTAAACGATGGGTAATACGTATATACAAGGAACCAAACGCATTGCAGACGCGTACGTTATTCTACTGGTCAACTAACAAAGAAGTTGCTCAGTTCAGTTCAAGGAAGGTGCATTTTTAGAGTCTAGGGAATAGCTTGGAAGTCTATCGGCTGTTTGGAAAGTAGTTACCTAAGACACAGGAAGACCAGTCTCATATATTGAGATTGGGTTCGACGAATGATGATGATGGTGATGATGATGATGATGATGATGACGACGACGACGACGGCGATGATGATGATGATGACTACTTGCCCCCACTCTCTGAGGTTCCTACGTTCATTAAGTTCTTGGACACAGCTTAACATTTTAATCTTGCCGAAATGATATTAAACATAGCATAAGCCTAATGGAGGATTCCTACCACTAAGCGCCCCTCCCCTCTCACACTGTATCACTACTGGTGTAAGAATATGCATATAACTCGGCTGTGGTGCGTACTATGCCAGGCACGATAAAAAAGACAAGCGAAAATAATGCATTATATGTTCACAAACATTTTCTTTTTACCTGACAACTGCCCTGACATATGGTGAACTGCTTTTCTCTTGTGCTTTTGGAGATGGACCCATAGAAGTAACTGTTTAAGAGAAGTCAAACCATGGTAAGGTTAGTATATGAAGTTTTAGACTTAAAAAAGATTTTAACGTGATTGTCGATTCGGGGAGGGTCTAACAAAATAAGCAGGTGAATAGATTTGTCTAGATCTCTGTCTACGTGAAAAGAATCAAAAGGTTATACTTACCACATATTATGTCTAAAGTTAAAAGTGTGATGTAAGGCATGATATCAAAAACGCCTTTGTTGACCTTCTCCTAGAAAATAAGGAAATAAAATAAAATCTTTAAAACATATGACAATAATCGTGCTTGAAATTTTTATGACTTTCTTTAAAAACACCGGTTAACTATTTCCAAAAAATTAATTTGCAGCACTTGAAGCATGCGCACAATGCAACAGCAAGTGGCTGATTCCTTGGGAATCATCTTTTACCGAATCACCACTGAAATGTCGTGCAACAAAATTACCCAAGTGTTCGTAATTATAAACAGCAATTAGCTAAACAAATAAGGGTTCTCACAAAACCATGAAATGCCTCTTTCTCAGCCGATCTTATTTACTGACGATACCTTTAAGCGTGAAACCAAAATGGCGGTTTGCTCTTCGCATACTTGAATAAAGTCGTTTAATATTCTGAAGTGGAATGTTGGGGTAATTAGCTTTCGTCGCTTTTTCCATTTGTCGCCATCACTAAAAAGAGAAAGCCAAAAACAGAAAACTTTTAGTATCAAAACCGTATTTTGTGGCCAAGGATAATAATTTTGTAAGCACCGGCTCTCTGAATATCTCTGTCGAAACAATTAGCTAAAAATGATAATTTTCGAATACAGTTAAACCTTCTTGACATAGATTTTTAAGATACCTACGGGAGGTGAGAGCAAAGTGTCGACCGCATTTAATACTAGAAGTCGTCGTATCGTAGCGTTTGGGTGCGTACTGTCGAACCTCCCTAAGCAACTACCACCCAAAATACCAAGATTTAGTGGTCGCTTACGGGAGGTCGGGTGGTCAGTTACGAGAATCGAAGCGTTAGGGAGTCTCTTCCAAAAAAGGTCCCGAAACGTCTGATTTTGGAAGATAATTTATTGCATGCAATTTCTCATCCTCGGAGACCCAGGGGCAGGTAAAGGGGGCGAGGGAAAGTCTAAACGGGCGGAAAAATATATATGGAACGAAGAAAAGTAAAGAACGGCGAGAAGAGCCCCTGGGGACAATGTCTTACCAGACCAGTTCCAAACGGTCGCCGCCGTTCTGGCTTTTGATTGGTTGTGTTTTTCTGGCACCAATCAGAAGCCAGAACGGCGGCGACCGTTTGGAACTGGCCTGGTAAGACATTGTCCCCAGGGGCTCTTCTCGCCGTTCTTTACTTTTCTTCGCGCCACATTTTCCGCCCGTTTAGACTTTCCCTCGTCCCCACTATCTGCCCCTGGGTCTCCGAGGATGGCAATTTCTAAGTTGTGCATAGGTGTGATTCCGTGTTGTCACTGAAAGGTCTTTGCCCGCTCTGAGTGGTGTAGTACATAGAGCGAACAAACAGACCACATCATGAGTCAATTGCAAGTTGTCGCTTACAAGACGTTAAAAACCATGGGAAACTGTTAATAAAAGCGTCAGTCTAAATTAAGGTGTCCGCTGTCGCTTACGAGAGGTTTTGTTCAAAGGGCCTTGACTGGAAAATTTTGATATTTTGGGTAGCTGGGCCCAGTTGTTCGAAGGCCAATTGGTGCTAGCCCAGGGTTAAATTTTAACCCGGGTCTCTTTTTCTTCTCATCAAAAGCATTTTCTCGGACAATTTTCTCTATTCTTTTTAGAGGAGTCAATCATCAAATTGTTGACAAAAAGAATTAAACTGAATTTGCTTTTTAAGCTTTCATATCTGAATTCAAATTTTGAACTAACCCTGGGTTATTTTAACCCAGCTTTGAACAACTCGGACCTGGTCTTTATCGGAGGAGATCGATTACGAGAGGTAGTCGCACATAGAGGTTATACTGTATAAACTTTAATTGGGATTTCTAGGACTTCGGAAAAGACATTCATAGCGATGAGTCCTTATTATAGAGGTTTAGGGATTGTATGAAGTCTAAGGGCCAAGTCGCACTAGAGGACAAAACTGTTTATTTATGTCAAAAATCTGTCATCACAATAAAAAACCAAGTGCGACCGGTTTGTTCACCAAAGGACAAAATTTGGTCGCAGACGGACAAACTTCAAAGATGCCGTCGACTACCTCTGGAGCAGGCCAAATTGAGACAAATTTTGGAAAACAATAGCCAGGGTGTTTTAATTCGGAAATGATTTGACAGGTGATATGTAGCGGTGTCTCTATGCTATAAACTTCGTTGTAAACTTAATCACGTTCTCATTTCGCAACAACATGAATCCCGGCGCGGGTGACCAATTTTTTCCGTACGAATATCCACAATGTCCACCAGGATGGATCTATCCTTTGCCAGTCCCTTACATGTTTAATGATCAAGGAAATCCCAGCCCATCTCCTTCGACCACGAGTACTGACTCATTGCCAGAATCCCTCCAGTTCAGCGAAGATAGCTTAATGCCGGCATCAACCCCATCTTCTTAGTACCATGCATCTTCGTCAGCCGAGAACAAGACGGCTCAGGACAGATGGAGAAAAGAAGAGGATAAGCTTTTAGTTCAACTGTGGGCTGAAATCACAAGGCGCTCACAGCATGGTATTGTGTTTTGTTCACAGATTTTGTTCTTAAGTGCGACTGTAGCTTTCCTAACAAATTTTTTGTCACTGGCCGATTTCAAGTCGGATTTGTCCAGAACAAATCTGAAATTGCCCTCTAGTGCGACTTGGCCCTAAATGAAACCTTTGGGACCAATATAACAGAACAGTGGGTTCGAGCGTGGGATCTGTACTATAGAGGTTTCGTTAATGGTCTAATAAGGGTCTTACTGAAAGATAGAAAGTTCATCCTCTTTGCTTCAATATAAACATGGAGAAATCCTGCAGGATCTCACAATGTTCGGTAGACCATCGTATTCTCCAAAATTTAGAATAACATCCAGTTATTATTACTTACCTGTACTTTATTTAGTTTTTCAAGGCCAATTTCTCCTACCTTGTCAGCAGTCCTTGGTTACGATCCGCAGTTGTCGTGGAAAGTGATTATTTGAAAAAAGGCAAAGAACAAATTTAGAAGACAGGTTAACTTAGCCGTGATTTAAGGAACTGAGTAAGTGAGGACAGTAAACTCCTTGACACCGTAGCTTCCTTCCTGACTGTGAGCTTCACTGAGAGAGAAAGACAGTGACTGGCAGACGCAGCGACCAATTCAACAGTGTTCGTTTTAGTCTGCTTTGTACAGGTGTCCGCTATAATAGTTACGTAATTAACCCAACTAATCTAATAAGCGGAGGAAATACTCTGTCCTTTGCCAGTGCCCCATCAGGTTGTACAGTCGAGCCTGGGCGATCACCCAAGATGTGAAGATGTAGTCGTCGCTTACAGAAGTTAGTCACTTACGAGAATCTAACCACAGGGGAGTCTTTTCCAAGATGAAGTCCGGACATATATATATATATATATATATGTACTGTATCTACTTTTGGAAGAGAATTATGTCACACAGTTTCTAAATTACGATAACTGTAGGCCCATGTTGACTCCAAATGTTCGCATAATCCAAAAAGCATATTGCATACATCTAACTAGATTGCAAAACAGTCCGTATTTTTGCGTATTCAAGTACGCGCGAGCAGTCAAACAAAAGGTCTGGAACGAGGCTGAAAACAGAGAGCGATACTGGCGTGTAAGGCTCGCTTGCTTCGCGTGCGCAAGACTCTTACGCCAAGCTTTACCGATTTCTTTACTGATTTTGAGAAAAAAACGGACTGTTTTGCAGTCTAACATGTAACGTAAAGATCAAACCATTAAACTGTAGAAAAGTCACCCCAAACAGTTTTCGCCGTCACCTACAAGAGCAGGTCGTTTACAAGAGATTCAAACCATAGTGCTTTGACTAGAACAATTGGTCTTATGGATAGGTAGCCGCTTACGAAGAGGGGTCACTCAGGTATAAGAAAAGGTTCGACTGTGTCTTTATATTCAGTGAAAAAAATTACTTCCAAGGTTGTTTGTTTACGGTCCTATCCAATATTTAGTGTGACAGCTTACCTGTACCGAGCCATGGATGCAACATTTCGTAATCCGGAGACTTAGTCATGTGTTTTGAACTGCTGAGGATAATCTGAAACAAAAGTTATATATTATTTCAAGTTTGTCATTTTTCTCGTTAACACAATCAATTAGTAGTATAGCGTAAAGCCTTATACTGACTAAAGTAGAATGCATCTGTTATCCGGCCTTAATCTATTAAGCTCCCAGCTTTAAGTGTCCTCATCCATTTTCTAATAAGTGCCAGGATTGTCGGGAACCAAAACTCAATCAAGACTCCGTTCTCTCTTATGCCCCAATTTTCAGTATATAGAAACAAACTGAGGATCGGCATCCTGTTGTTTTCCACCCTCAAAAATGTTTTGGCGAAGGTGAAGTTGATAGGTTTTTGTAATATTTTCTCAGCAGTGAAAAGGGTCACCAATCTTATAAAAAAGATACAATTTCCTCCGAAAATATAGATTAGGCTCCAAGGTCTCTCAACCACCTATGAAACAATATATTTAGCTGTTACAACGTACTTGCGATGCCCGGGAAATATTGATCTAGAACACACAGTAGTTACCACGAATGATGGTGGTTATGCGGTGCTGATGGGGTGATGATGATGGTGATAATGATGATGATGGTGATGAAGATGACGTACGTTGATGGTGATACTACTGCTGATGATGGCTGGTAGGGTTTTGGGCTGCTACTTAGCCACCACGTGTGGCAGGAACGCGTGACGAATTGAAGCACTAAGAACGTTGTGCGTTGGTGGCTTCTCTATTAGTTTCACTGAGCAGTGTCAGCAAAGAACCATTGATATGATTGACTTTAACATTGAGAAAGACGTCATATATTTTGTCGTCACGAGTACTCTGGCTGATAGAGACTCCCTCAAGCCTTTCACATCATTGGTTTTTGGCCCCGGTGAGGGAGGGGGGTGGGTACTCTTTGGTAGGGGTGGGGTTTGCCGCCCGGTTCTTTAAATCCTGACCCGATTTCAAACCAAAACATTTAATTTTCCACACACGCTTTCAGACTAGAACTCTAAAATCCATGCCCCTTTTCAGACCTGGCCTTTAGGCAGAAATTACTTACTTAGATATGAGCGCAAGCAAGAAAAGCATTCCATTCCATTTCGAATTCGCATAGTTCTTTTTCTTTCTTACTCATTTGGAATTGAAACGATAAATGCGTTCATACGCTCCGTAGTTCCCTCGAAAACCATACCCGATTCCAGACCAAAATGGGCAAAGTGTATACTCGTTTTCAGACCAAAACGGCTCAAAAACCCTACCCGATGGGGCGGCACATACCTATACGGCTTCTATAAGGTAGTACCCCCGGGTCTTTGGCCGAAGAGATGTCGGCCTGTGGCAGACACCAAGGCACGGCCCAGTGACCCCACCACATGCGAGGGAAAAATCTCTCGTACCCAGGGTATGTCGCAAGAGCGGAGCAAAGAAAAAAAAAGAAAAAAACAAATAACAAACAAAACAAACAAGAGAACAGCAACAGAAACGAAACGCAAAGGGTGCTCTGTGCAATGAGCTATATCACAGGTGTTTATTGCGCGCTTGGCCATTTACTTGATCAATATGCGATTGTTGCGTCGGCTTTAACGGTGTTATAGTAGATTATAGTATCGCAGATATATGGTAAAAAGACGTGAAAAAGAGCCATCTCTTACCTCAGCTAATTCAGGTTTAAATATCATCGTTAAAGGATACGTGGGACCGAGCCACAAACACATAAGTCCCTCATGATTACATTCTTCCATCCATTGCAAAATTCTTTGAATTACCACTAAAAGGCGTGCAAAACAAATTTTTAATTAATTACGGTACTGAATCGTAGCGGGTGAGAAAACTGCTTCTATTGAAAAGCAATTTGTTGGAAGAGCGCTGTCAGTGTCATTAATTAGCCAGCATCGCCGAATAACAGGCTCCTGCTGTTAATTTTTGAACTCGACAATGAATCCAGAAAATAATGCATTTGGGCTATGAATTTGAACTTTCCACAAGACTATGAAGTGAATAAATATATGGGATATGATATCGTTTCACTGACGTTATCAACCTTTACAGCTCAAAACGGACAAAACGTAACTCAAGGCCATGCACCGCCATGGATTCGGGAGGTTCTCCTGATCTGCCCGGTAATTTCTAAAAATAATTGACAAATACATACAAAACATGGCCAAAGACTCGTTTGTCAGTGGCAGAATTTTCTATTACTTGAGGACGGCTAAGAATTTATAGATGACTGTTCCATTCATGTGTTCCCTACGATTTTATTTTCCCATTTTTATTTTTGTGTTCCCTATTTTCACATTTCGCTTCCCAAGTTAGGCTATTTTTCGTATAAGAAAGGAAACCTAAAATTTTTGGATTCAAAAATGCGACGGAAATAGGAATTAGAAAATGTCTCACTTTCGTAATAAGTTATATTTCATACGGGGAAGTTAAACACCTAAGCCCCGGGCTTGTATGTTAGTTCCCTGTCACGATAATATTCTCTCTTGATAATACTCACCATGAGCTTCTCCAGTTAGCTGTAGAGCGTTACCAAACAGATAGCTTGGTTTTCTACCGGGGAGCAATTTTAAAGCAGCTACAGAGCGGTGTTTAGCAATAAACGAGGCCAATGCAAATACCAAAACCGACAATAATATCAAGGACACGATAGCAATTGCTCCAATCGCCATAGCGGGTCAGTTCAAGCCGTATGCTTTCTTGTGGTAAATTCAAAGCCAATCCCCTGCTCCCCGTTCGATGTAGCTTTGACTTGGACGAACAAATTCGCTAGACTCTAAAGTTAATCATCTTGGTCGAGTGAAGACCACTCTCACGTACTATCTGTGATTAGCATTTCCGAGCACGATTAGCATTTTCTTAATTGGATGCATGTTGAGTCAGTTCCGCTGTCAGTTATGTATGTTATCACCTCGTTTCTTAAAGAGTATCTGAATGCATGATTTTTAGGGAAAGCCCTTGGGCAAAGACGAAGCATTTGGTTCAGGGCTTGAAATAACGGCCGGTCAACGGACAATGTCCGGTCAGAATCGAGCATTGTCCGAGCAAATCCGTGGATGACCGGACATGTTGTCCGGTCATTTGGGCTTTCAAAGAAAATTCAATTTTGAGACAATCATGATCGAAATTTATTTAATCTTATCATGTTCCCAAAAAAGATATTAACTAGAGGGACTTTTGTTTGTGAAATTGATGACATTTCCTGTTGTCAGTCGCGACCGCAATTGTGGGCAAGCAGTGCTAACCGCCGCCCGAACCAGAGAGCAAGGAAGCAGTACAATTCAAGAGATTCTGCAAAAAGGCCGAAAGTGTTGATCAAACAAGATGATTCTTCGCCAGAAGAGAGTTATGACACTGACGACAACGAAGAAAACGAGTTAATTAAGGAGCTTGAAGATCTTGAGTAGTGAGAACGTAACCCCCGTTGCAAGTTACTGATAGTGATTAGTTAAGTTTAAGTCTTAACATTTTCTGGTGTGATCAGTTGTATATTAATTTATATTCCGTTTAATAGCGTTTATTATCGTGTTAATTGGGAGATTGATTTATTGAACCAAACGATTTCACAAGTTTATTTGCCCGTTTGAAATTATTTGTAGAAACAAAGCAGCATTTGCTAAAATGTAAATGTTGTACTATAAAGTTGAAGGTTACGTTTTGTTAGTGATTTGGTCAGGTTTCAACCAAACGTTAACGATGAGGTTGTGTCTTGCAATCCACGTGTCTGACTTACAATGTAACAGAACAAAGAGTAATAAAACTACAACTTCTAATTTTTTGCACACTCGATTTGTTTTGAGTAACTAGAGTTGCTGTTGCTGAAAATGATACAGATCATGTAACTTGCAAAATGGAGCCTCTATTGCAACTAGTTAAGATGGATTCTGAATTTGTCCGGCCAAAACTGCCTATGTCCGAGCAAAATCACGTTTGACCGGACAATGTGTCCGGCGCCTGCCCGAGAGTTATTTCAAGCCCTGTGGTTCAATGGAGCATGGAAGGGAAAAAAATGAAAAAACAAACAAACAACAACAACAACAACACCGTTGAATATAGCTTGCGAGCAAGCTCTTCGCCCCTCTCATACCCCATGTAAGGAAATCTGGATTCCAGAATCCGGGAATTTTTTGCTTGTGGAATTCAGAATCTTGGGCCTTTAAATCCGGAATACAGCTCAAGGAATCCGGAATCCCACTAACGATTGTAATCCAGAATCCAAGTTCCACTGGCAAAGACTGGAATCCACTATCTGGAATCCAGAATCCTCAACGGCCATGTTGAACATACATACATACAAACCTCAACGGCCATGTTGAACATACATACATACAAACATACATGTTTTATTTATTTGGAATCTTATACAATAACAAATAAATAGTATATCAACTATTCCCAAAGGCAAAAGTCGGGTGAGATGGGGGCGGGGGTGGGGAAGGGGGGAAGCTGGCTTGTTTTTTGAAGCCTTGCGTATATAGTTATATCTGATATTCTTACCCAACTCACATCTGAAACTCACACCTGAAACACGCTGTCCTCGAGAGACGAGAGACAACCTTTCCCTCCCAGAGAGGGAACTCAAAGCATGACGGACAGAGATAATTCCTGCATTACTTTGCCTTTTTTTCCTTGAAAAAAAAAAACACATTTGGCAAAGCAAGAACCTAACTCAACATAATTAGTGTTTGCTTCATTCGAATATCTTTTATGCCGTGGGAAAAGTAATCGTTCAGAGGTCCTCAGGATAATTACGTAATGTTTTCCGGCTTCACCTTGTTGTTGGAGTTCTGTTTTGAAAAGATGTCAGATCTCAGTATTGAAATTTAGACTGCTATCTTCCCAAAACAGGATAATTTGTTTTCAGAGCGAAGGAGCTGACGAGGAGGGTACACAGTTATAATGCACTACTGAAATGAGTGTGAAGCTGTCATGGTTGGCAACAGCAGACTTGCGTTTCATTCTTTTTCCATAACGGTAAAAAAACAAAACAAAACAAAGAACAGTAAGATCATCAAAATTTAGTGCCTTTTAAAGATTCATGCGTTATCATGGCTAGT